TGTGTCGGAGGGGTGTGAGCGCGGGGTTACATCACTTGTCGTCATTGTCCGTCTCACCCCTCCTCGGTGGCTCCAAGCGGTTCTTCTTAGCTCATCTTTAGTTTGTGCGGGGTGCCCGACACCTTTGTATCTTGCCTTAGGTGTGTGTATGTGTTGAGTGTCGTGATGGTGTGTGTTTGTGTCAGTTCGCTCGGGTGTATGTGGTAATGATTGATTTATAATATAAAGCAGGGAAACCCTTTTTCGGTAAAAAGAAGGTGGTCGCGGTATTGAAATATTTGGAGGTTAGAATCATGCCAGATGGGTATAAACGACACAATCATAGTGCTTATTCCTAAGGAAAAGAAGACACAAAGTTTGAGAGAGTTCGGACCGATTAGTCTTTGCAAACTTATATATAAGGTCACCTTCAGATGCTTGGTTAATCGTTTGCGTTTTTTTATATGAACCTATCTTGGAAACTCAAAGTGCCTTTATTCTGAAAAGGTTCCGGAAGGGATGATGATGGACATCACAATCATTGACTTTGAGGGCATCCTCAAAATCCAGCAAAATAAGAATTCTCGGAACATTTATTGTGCTTACAAACGGGATCTCACCAAATGCGGCATTATTAGTTTTTTCTAGTTTACCTCGTAAAAGCATATACAGCTGGATTTTGTAAATCCGGCCCTTCAAACGCCCGCGGACGTGACCGGTCGCCTCCGGGGACAGTGACCGGTCACGTCTCAAATTAGCCACTTTGCATCCGTCTCTCTCATATTTCATCCCTTAGATCCATACAAAGAATGCAAAAAAAAAAACCTATGTACTACATCTACGTACTACCCTAGCTACTCTTCGTCGTCGGAGATGTCCATGACGCCGGTGTCGGACGCCGGCTGGACGGGCGGGTAGGAGGGCTCCAGCTCATCCTCCTCCTGCTCGACCTCATCCATGTGGCGAACATCTCCGCCTCCTCCGCGACCTCTTGCGCCTCCATCTCCTGCCGATGATGACGTCTTGCCTCCGCAGCCGACTCCGACCAGAGGTGATCGAGGATAGCCTGCTGCTCCGCCTGCAGATCCCCGTCACCAGTGTCCCCCACATCCTCCTCCTCCGGCTCATCCCCCTCTATAATACTTATTCGCAAATCCAAATCTGGCAATTGTTCTCTAATAGCACCTGCTCCTGTAGCAATTTCCCGATTTCGAAATGTTGCAAAGCCTGGGGTAGAAAAAAAAGGGAGAAATGATGTGGTTACAAGATGCAATTTCCTCTTCGAATAAACCTCGTAATCGTAATAAAGTGGGTTTTTTAGTGTTGGGCCTAGCAAAAGAGAAATCGAGATGTTAGGAGTCCATTGATGAAAAGGGGCCGGGGAAAGCTTAAACCTAAGTCCTACAGTGATGGATATAAGCGTCCGGAGAAAGGAATCAGTCTCTTCAGTCCGGTGCATGCCTCCCTACCCTCGGTAGTTTACGAGTTTACGTCCATCCCTGGCCGGGTACAATTTCAGTTAGTGGATCCGGAGGGAGGCATTGAAGGGCCTGGGTCCCCCATTCCGTCCTAGTCGGACTCGGAGCGAAGCATCTCCCAAGGCCAACTTCCATTCACCAAACCCAGGTTCCTTGAGGAGCTTCAGCTGAAGAAGGAGGCATATTCGGAGCTGGTTGAGGGTCATCCACAACTTCCAGAGCACAATTCTTAAGCACTTGCTCTAACCTTTCTAGCTTTGGAGCATTGCTCTTGGACAGATCAGAGGCGCCTTCTCGATAAGGAAGAGGATAAAAAGGTGCTGTCATCTATCTCGACCATCTTAGGCGCACACTTTATTCAGACAATGGGGCACGATGCTCTAAAAAAACTTACTGAAAAAAACATAGCGGTAACGGCTGTTTTAGAAAGCACCTCTTCCTTTCCTGAAACTCAAACAACCTACTAGGCTACTAAAAGGCTAATCCAGACGAAAGAGATAGCGAGAAAACGACTCCTCAAGCCGAAATAAGGGCGGGCCGCTGCAATGAGAGCCTAAGTTGCGGAGTTTTTTCTAGATTCTTTTTTTGGTGGGTTCTTCCTTTTTTTGGATAGAAAGAAGGGTTCCACAAAGTCATCCTCCTCGTCCTCCGGATCCACTGCATCCGGAGGGAGCCCCGTGGTGATCCGGGCTTCGCGCCTAGCCCAGATCTGCTAAAGGAGCTCGAGCTGGTGCTCCGGCGTTAGAAATGGCTCGCTCCTCACCCGACGACGTGAGGACATGGCTACTAGGCGGACAAGTGGAGTGGAAAGTGGCGGCGGCGACAGACAGAAGGAGGAAAATGTGGATGGATGGTAGGGTTTCGATGTCGCCGGTCGACTTAAATAGCCAAGCAAGACACTACGCGGCCCGCCGAAGGAGACGAGTTTCGGACCGTCGGGTTTGAGGGCATTTTCGGCTAGGACCCCTTCGTCAGTCCGACGTGGCGGGTGTGCCCGTGCGCCTCCATATCTGCCACATATTTGAGCTGGACATGAGTGGTGCCGGTCAGCCCGGATGTTTGATACCCGTTTGAGGCGTCTGTCTGGGTCGAAAAAACGTGACCAGACAATGACATGACGGACCATTCAGATGTATGAGGCGGGTTTGAGGCGCCCGACTGTAGCTGACAACCGACCAAGAGGCGGTTCGCTCGTGTGAGTGAAAACACGTGCCGTTCGCTTGTTCGCCAGCCGGCGCGCTATATAAACTCTTGGCGTTTACTTCGGTTGACCTCCCCTGACCAGAAAGATCACCACACCAGCCAGCCCAAATCCTCCTCCCCTCCCTCTCCTCCCTCCCATTTCTGAATTTCTGATTGCCCGCCGACTCCCCGAACTCCCTCGTAAACCCTACCTAGCCGCGCGACGACGCCAGCGGCGGTGGCGGAGCCCCCACCTCCGCCCCTTCCCCGCCTCCCCCGCCCCGCCGCAGCCGGCAAGGGCAAGGGGAAGATGAAGGGGGACGATCTGGTGAGCAGCGACGACCCCGCCACTTCTCTCCCTTCTCTTCCTCCGCCTCCTCCCCGCGGGGCGGGGGCGCCGCTCGTCCTCTCTCTTACGGGTGCGGCCGCGTGACTCGCGTCTCGTGCCTGTCGCAGTCGGAGGAGGACCTCGAGCTCAAGGCGCGTCTCGAGGATTGCGTGCAGCTGGCGCAGAGCGGCGACCCCCGCCTCCGGGTAGAAGCCATCGACACCCTGAGGTAATGCCTTCTGCCGCTTCTGAACTTCCCCGGGATTCGGCCCGCATCGCTCTCAAATTTGGATGGCCAGTTTAGGCGCGAAAACCAGATTCCGTATGATCCGGGCGCGAAAACCAAATTCGGTTCGGATGTAAGTGTTTGTCGCGCCGCTGCTCAGTTTCTAGTCTCCTGCACCACTGTCAGTTTTGGTTAGTTTCGGTTCTGGTCTCCTGCTTAGTTCCGGTTCGGATTCAGGCGCGTCGCTGTCAATTTTGGATGGCTATTTTTTAGGCGCGAACACCAGATTCCGCGTGATCCGTTTTCTCGATTCGCATGCAAATGTTTGTTGCGCCGCTGCATAGTTTGTAGTCTCCTGCACCCTAATCTCTGGGTTGATTTCTTGATTTACCTACCGGTATGTACTGCAATCTGCAGGCGAGTTTATAGGAATGTTGCGCTCTGCAAAATTCACTGTCATGAAAAATTGGAGGGACAGGAATACTGTTCAGGTTTTTGGTTGTGCTGGTTTGCTTATTTTGCAAGGATGCCAATTTTGGGCTCCCTCTGCTCTTAAGTTGGGACAGGATACTACGAAAGCAAAATTCCTATTGCGTCATGCTTTCGCTGTTGAATTTCCCTATCATGTTATGATGGTATATTTGATTTGATTTGTTCATTTCGAATGTTGCATCCTACTGCTGCTATTGACTGCAGCACTGCATTCCTCAAACAGCTAATATGCCATTTTTCTTCTCGGTACATAGTTAACTGTGGTTAATGCCTAACAGGAAAGAGATTCGTGCGGCGACAAGCTCAATGACGTCTGTCCCGAAACCACTCAAATTCCTCCGTGCACACTACGGAACTCTCAAGGCTTGTTTTCAGAGAATGCGGGATCCTGCACAGAAGGTATCAAGGGATTGTTAATGTCTCAGTTGAGCCAAGCTTAAGTACTATGGTGCTTATGATTTTCTGTTCTTATTGTGCAGAAACATATGGCTGACATTCTGTCAGTATTGGCCTTGACAGCGTCTGCTGAAGGAGAAAGGGTATGCAGAAATACCAAAGCACTGTTTAAACATTTGTGCATTTCCTTCTGTTAGTATCTTTCTTTTTTATAAATGACCATCGCGTGAAATTCCGAGCAAGATATACTCTACAAATAGTTTTTATTTATTTCTAGTTCATAGTGGTTAGAGTTTGCTTTAGCACTCATAAATACGGATCTTAAAACCAGGCTAGGTGGCATAAGCAAAGAGCAAATATGTGAAGGCCCCAAACAAAAATCTAGATTAACAGCCTCATCCCTCTGTTATGCTGTAACTAACCTGAACCCACTAAAATATTTAGTCATGTGTGCCGCTGGGACCAAGGGCAAGGATTAATCTTCATAGTAACTTACCTATGGCTCGATCATATGTCATCCTATATTACCCCATTCGACCATTATCGACATCAACACATGGGCCATCAATTGATTTATTTAACTTCTGGATTGATCATCCTGTGCCTAATGTCGCTGGCGAGAGAACCACATCTATCACTGCTGACTGCAACTTTAACAGTGTTATGCTTTGACACAAACCAGATAGCTAACAGGCACCTAGTCCTTTTCTTTGCTTGGATATTTTAACACCAGAACCTACATGTAGTTACATTTACTTTAATACAGGTTTTCCCTCATCGTAAACCACCTAACTTCCATTATACTACTTCATAAGCTTTTTTGGAAAGCTGAATACTGAAATGAGCATCTAGATTTAGTTGACCATTACTGTATAGGTTTGTCTTGCTAAATTTTGCTTCCTTTTCTTGTTTTAGGAAAGCCTCAAGTACTGTATGATGGGCTCTTTAGTTGATATATGTTCATGGGGTCATGTATATGTGAGGTGCTGACATTATTCATCCCCCTGGCTGTAATTCTAACCTTACCTTTTCTTCATGTTACTTGTAAATAGCTCCCTATTAGCATTATTTACTATTTTGTCTTCGTATACACTTTTTTCCATCCTTGTAGCTACAAATACAACGTGATGTGAATTTATTTTTTATATGCCCTCAAATGCAATACTAAATCTAAAGAATCACTCTTATGTATTTTGTTGTTGTTCCAGTTTGAGTGTTATTGACTTACCACCATCCTAGTCATTCTGCCATTTCAAATCTAAGCTATATTGTTCGGAAATTAATGGACTATAGTATTGCTCCTAAGTTTTTTTGTTGCGGAGGCTCAAGCTGTTTCATATAGTGGGCTCTAATTATGTCAATGTCTTTTTCGACAGAAACTTGGCTTTTGAAATTGGAAAAGAGTGGAAGGTTAGATCCTAATCCACTTCATCGTTTGTATTGCATGATTTTTTATATGTTCTCCATAGTACCCTGTTCTGTAGTATGATATTGATATCCACTTTCTGTCCGGATGGCATGCCATTTCGCGTGTTAGTTCCGTGCTAGATATGCATAGTTTTCGGCAAAAAACTGAATAGTGGCCCGCCCCTGTCTCTCTTCACAGTAGTATGACATCCAATTTCTGTCTGGATGTTGTTGATTATAACCAATAGTGTTTTAATTGTTCTTCATGGTAGCATGACATCCAATTTCTGTCTAGATGTTGTATATTAGAATCGAAAGTGTTTTGGTTGTTTTTCCTCGAACCTTTTGACTTTATCGTCAGTATGTATATACCTTACTGATTGATGTACCATAATTTCTGTGGCTGTCCAGCTGACAAGACTCTTGAAGTTGTGATTGCTGGTTTGCTATCTCTTAATGCATTTTATTTTGTTAGAAAAGAAGTTCCATCAACTCTTTCTTTTGTTATCTATGCTATAGTGTATTAGTTGTTCCAGGAAGTTGGGCTTAAATATCAAACTTTTCTTGTTTTGCAGGACAATGGCTCATCAACACCAATTGAATCCAAGATAGAACTAGTGCTGGAAATTGTCAAATTTCACATGAAGGTTGATTCCGATTAGATTTTGTGTGTTGCATTTGTTTTATTTTGTTACTTCATCATATAAAAATATTAACTTATGTGAAATATGCTAATCGTAATTGATAACCAATAGTAATTGTTTAAAATAAACCTAATAGTGATTAATTCTTTGATGGATTTTGTTATTGTAGCATAATGCTGAAACTGAAGCTCTGGATCTTTTGATGGAGGTTTGGTGAAACATTTCTGTTTGGATTAATGGATCAGCTTTATGCTTATTGAGATGCAACTGAAGCATGGTATTTCTTTGTACATAGGTTGGATACCTTGAGATGCTTTTAGACGAAAAATATGAAGAGTACCTTGCAAGGCTATTTTGTCTTGTTGACTCTACCAACTACAAAAGGGCATGCTTGTATTTGACTACTTCTTCTAAGTACGTGAGTGAATTTATGCATTCTCTAATTTTAAATTTATCGAGATTAAACTTGTGACCACTTGTTATGTTGGGGTGGAAACTGGCAGATACCTTTTGACTCCTGACCGTGAGGCCTATGAGGCCACACTTTACATTGCCTTTGGCATGTATGGGAAGTTTAGGGATCTTGCAAGTGCTTTGCGAATTGTGCTTTTGGTCAACGACGACAAGGTAAGTGAATGAACTACGCCTGTGATTTTGAGGTCCGAAATTCAATGGCACTAACATTGATTTCAATGTCTTCTAGTGTTGTGATCAGAGTGTGAAGATTGTATTTGCAGAAACTGAAGATTTCTCCCTGAAGCAGCAACTCGCATTTATGATAGCACGCTATGTGAGTCTCATCCATGCTCACAGACATGCAACAGAAGCAAAATTACCTATTTTCGCCATCGTCTGCTGATCTACAATTCTGATCATTGGGATAGTTTGTACCTATAGATTCCATACTACAGATTGTTTAAATCTTTTAGCAGACTCTTTGACCTTTATTTTCCTTTATCAATGAGCTCTTCTTATTGAAGGGTTTAAGCATGGAGGTTGATGATGACATGGTTGCAGATGAAAATGAGAAGAATGCTTTGCAGGAAGTAGTTAATAACACCAAACTGAGTGAGGGGTACCATATGCTTGCGCGGGATATTGGTGTCATGGAGCCAAAATCTCCAGAGGACATATATAAGGTAATTTTTTGTTAGGTTATTTGCCGATTCAGTTTTTAAGTAGTTTGTTAGTTTGTTTAGGTACCCCAGTTAAAATAAAGACATGCTCATTTGTTAGGTTCATCTGATTGGCGGTCAAGGTGCCAAAAGCTCCAGCCTTGATTCTGCAAGACAAAATTTGGCCGCAACTTTTGTCAATGCATTTGTGAATGCTGGTTATTGCCAGGTTAGCTCTTATGAACTTTCTCGCCATCTTCAGGGAAAGTAATGATATTAAGATCATATTCTTGTTGCAGGACAAACTCATGACTGCAATTTCAGATTCTTCTGAAAATTTGCTATTCGAGAAGAACGAACTTGGGAAAGCCAGTGCAGTAGCTAGTCTGGTACTGATATAATTCTATTTCTATTAAATGCACCTTTTAGATTACTAGACGATGCGAGTATTTGATAAGATAACAGTACTAAATACTAACACATCATTTTCAGGGAATGATACATCTATGGGATCATGATTCAGGATTTGCCATACTTGACAAGTACCTGCAGAGCGATGATACTCATGTCGTTGCAGGGGCTTTGTTAGGTATAGGAATGGTCTCTTGTGGTGTGAAGAATGACTATGATCCTGTATGTACCACCCTACCCTACTCCATCCATCCTCTTGCTCTTCTAATACAAGTCCTCTGCTGTAATAACCTCTTATGTTATGCAGGCACTTGCTCTTATTTCTGGGTATAGCACGAGTGCAGCATCAATTACACGTATCGGTGCAATCTTGGGCCTTGGTATTGCTTATGCTGGGTCCCGGAAAGACAAGGTTAAATCAATACATTCCCCTATACCTGAAATACCCTTATTATCTTGCATTGATATAGTTTCCGAATTTTCAGCTTAAATCGTTGTTCTTAATTACCTTGAGTGACTCCCAAGCACCTTTGGTGGACTTAGTGTTCTCTGCCATCTCCTTGGGATTGGTGTTTGTTGGTTCCTGCAACGAAGAGATTGCACAGTCAATCATATCTGTCTTGAAAAATCTTATTAAAGCAGAGCTTGCAGAGCCCATTATTCGTCTGCTTCCAGTTTCCATTGGCCTTCTATATCTTGGAAAACAGGTAATTTTGTTGTTCCTCAGTAAGATTCACAGCTTCCTGTACATTTTTTTTCTTGTTTCGGAGCATGGAATAATTTTAAAACATGTATTCTATGTTTCGGTGCCTGCCCTTATACTTGTGGACACCCTTTGATGATATACCTTAAACCCATGCTTTGGCTGGTTTCTCTCCATTGTTATAAAATAGGTTCATCTGCTGATGTGATTTATATTTAAATACCTTTTATTTTGAATGTGGCTGCATGTGCACAGGCTTATGAATTTTTCCTATTCAATTTGTTGATCTTAACAACACTGTATCAGGAGGGGCCGAAGGCTAACATTGTTAAGGTTTCTGAAACATTTGATGAAATAATGAAGGAGGTTTCTAAATTTTTTGATAAAATAATGAAGGACTATTGGGATGTAACTCTTATGTCTTTGGCATATGCTGGGACAGGGAATGTGCTTAAGGTAACTTACCTTCAAAAGATACATGAATTGCAGAGAGATTGTATGATACCCAAAAGTTCAATGCATAGCTGTTCTTAATGAACTATGCCATTTGATTTTTCAGGTTCAGGAGCTCCTTAGTATCTGCTCAAAAAAGGAAGGTGGAAGTCACCAAGGGCCAGCAGTACTTGGAATTGCTCTTATTGCCATGGCTGAAGAATTAGGAGTTGAAATGGCTGTACGGTCCCTTGAGCAACTTTTTAAGTATGGTGATTATAATATTAGAAGAGCGGTTCCTCTTGCTCTTGGCATGCTCTACATATCCAATCCAAAGGTACTCCTATATTTTATACTCCCTCTGTCTCAAAATATAAGAACGTTTTTAACACTACACTAGTGTAAAAAACGTTGTTATATTATGGGACGGAGGGAGTATAAGTTTCGCTTGTCTTCTGTAACATTAAGGGGCTGTTCGGACTCTCTCCACTCTCCAACTCCACGCCGGAGCGGAGCAGGATCTAGCTCTAATTTGAGGAGTGTCCGGAAGGCCGCTCTGCAGGCTCCGCTCCGTGACGATTTGCCGAACAGGGCCTAAATGGGAACAAATCAAACTTTTGCCATATTAATAGCCCTTCCAAATGCACCATGAAATTAAATGGAAACATTTCTTGGGTTGGCGGATGGATCGGTCCCACAAGATGGAGCATTTGCATCTCTGTACTGTTGCACACATATTTGTAATATATTAATAGCAGTGGAAGCACAATAGGCTAAGAACATGCATGACTGTTAGTTTTTCATCTGTTGCAAAACCATCCGTTTCGGTCTGAATGTGCTTGGAGAACACACTTTGTTAGACACTTATTTGGTCTTGGCTTATTGGCAACAACATGCTTTGCAGCTTCTTATTTGATTCTAGCTCACTGAGTGCCCGCAGTTATGGTAATAATGTACATAGGTTGCATCTTGCAGATCTCTAGTTTCATTCTGTCTGCCTATCATAATTAATGTAAATAGATTGTATCTTCCAGATGTCTAGTTTCATACTGTCTGCATATCATGTAGGTAGACGTTGTAGACACACTGAGTAGACTGAGCAATGATGCGGACGGTCAAGTAATGATGGTTAGTAACTTCGTCACAATATAACATATTGATTCTTCTTATTTCTCAGATTACATATTTGATCAAATCACTACATGCAGGCTGCAACCATCTCACTGGGTTTGATAGGTGCTGGTACAAACAATGCACGTATAGCCGAGTTGCTTCGTAACCTCTCAAGTCAGGAACATGGCGTTTACCTGTTTTGTGTAAGTACAAACCTACAGCAAAAAACACTATCCTTGTTTTAAACGTTAGGACGATTTCCTTTGGTTATTTAGGTTTCAGATTTGTTGATTTCTTTTGATTTCAGGTGAGGATTGCCCAGGGTCTTGTTCACCTAGGGAAGGGCTTGCTGACACTTGCCCCATACCACTCTGACCGGTTACTTCTATCCCCGTGAGTAATGTGTCCGGTAGGGTTTCCCTTTGGTTTTACTGGAATTGTGATTTAAAAAGCTTTTGTGTTATCACTTTTCAGCGTAGCGCTAGCTGGGCTAGTAACCGTTCTGCACGCATGCCTTAACATGCAACCCACCATCCTCGGAGAGTATCCCTACATGCTATACATCCTTGCCCTTGCTATGCAGGTATGTATCTTGTACTAAGGACTCAGTGGTAGGGTTAAAAAGAATCATATGATTTTGAAATGTGTGTTTCTCTGCTGGGAACAGCCTAGGATGTTACTGACTCTGGATGAGGATCTCAAGCCCCTCCCTGTGCCTGTTCATGTTGGCCAAGCGGTTGATGTGGTCGGTCAAGCGGGAAGTCCCAGGACCATCACTGGGTTCCAGACGCACAACACGCCTGTATTGCTCGCTGCAGGGGAGCGAGCTGAGCTAGCAACTGAAAAGTAATTACAGAACATTTTCGAAATGAATCTTATGTTCTCTTCAGTAACTTGATTCTTCCTCGAGCTTACTGATGTTCCTGTATGTAGATATATTCCGCTGACACCAGTTCTGGAGGGCTTTGTGATCCTGAGGAAGAACCCAGAGCATCATGAAGATTGAGAGATTGGTGCGATGCAAGCGTAAGCGGATCTGCGGATGGAGTGCCATGAAGAGGCTTGGTCAACATCTAACTGTCACACAAGCAAGCGACAATGACTATTGTGAAGAGGCTGCAAATATTCCTTCTAACAAAGTACAGGTCGTACAGGGGTCAATACAAAGAGCGGAATAGTGTTCGCGGTCAATGTTTGTACAGAGGGAGAATCGGGTCGATGTTTCTTCGGAAAGAGGAGAAGCAACTTTGTCGGAAGGGGAAACAGAAACAGTGGGTGTGACTGAAAGCTGCATAGCATAGCCTAAAATTTTGTGTTTTCACTCGCTAGACTCTGTTTCCCAGAACAAAAAATTGTCTGTGTTACTTAACATGCACATATAGTCTTTTGAGATGCATATAATAGATATATTCAGTTGTATACTTGTCTGATGTTTTCTCCCCTTTTAACAAGTCATAATGTATGTACAATGCTAAGGCATTCGCAAATGTTAAACTTTTCGCACCCATTTGTTGCAAAAGCAAACATAATCTATAGATGGATAAACTTGCATTCTGTAAGAAAGCTAGTAGTGCTCTGCCGAGACGTGACTATCTGTCATTCATGACTTCATTGCTGATGGAGGTACTTTCTGTAGATTGATTCATGACTTCACCGGCGATATCATCATACCCAGAAATAATCCATCAACGGAAGCACTGTAACCTTGACAGGTGGTGTTTCTGGCCAAGTATTGAAATGTCAGCAAAGCTATGGAAGGAGCAACTCTGAGGGTGAAAGAAAACTGAAGATTAATGTTAGTTACCTGGCTCAACTGGAATGTATCTAAGCACATCATTCAGAACAAAATAGCCTCCTTTTTGTGGAGCAAGGAAGAACGACTGAGTAAACCTACGCTTCATGGCATCAGGGACAGTGAAGGACCCACTAACTAAAACGAGCACACCGCCCTCGTGGGATGGCTGAGAATCTACATTGTCTATCTCCATCGAACATCCCTTGAGGTATGTAGATACAAAGTGTTTATTGATATCCTGGTTAAGCACACAAAAAACAAATCGATTAACCAATCAAGTGACTATAGCCCTTAATTGAGCAACCACGTATTAGACAAATAAGAGAGACAAGTGTTGGGAAGAATTCTACTGCCTTCAACATGGCACATAATCTCTTGCTACAAAATGATGTTGTATCACAAGGTTGTGCTTGCATGGATGCTGCATAATAAGATCACATAGAAACCATATTGGCATGCACATCCTTTAGCTAACGATGTCCAATTGTCCATGGATCACATTTCAACACGTATGGTCTAAACATTGGATTCTTAGCATAATCCCACTACTACTAAATGCTCAATTTACAACCGAAATGGAAAGATCATACAATGCCGCTGCTGCGCTGCAGAGAACTTACACGCAATGTGGTTATAGATGTCAATGTACCATCAGAATTTGGCTTCCGACCAAGAATACTTTGATCATGGTAGAACTTATGGACATCCTCTGGTGACTCATTCAGAATTTTGTAGTAGTGTTGGGCAAATGCATTTCCAATCTGTAAGCAAAGCCAATCCTGATCAACAATACCCTTTTATTTGCAGAGTAATAATAACTAATATGGAGAAAATCACTACCACGTGGGGATGGGGAAGAACACCACCCACAGAATTCCCAGCTTTCGCAGCCATTGCTGCATAAGGAACATCTCTGATTAGTATCTTTTGAGGTGAATGAATATTGTGAGAATGTAGAATGCAAAATTGTTGCCAGAAAGGAAAATGCTTAAAATTCAGAACCAAAACATTAATACTTGTGTCCCACAGGGCCAAAGCAAGAAAAAGAAAAGAAGGTCTGCAGCTCAGTGCCGGGTGCCGACTGAAAGACTCCCACCAAAATTCAGAAACTACACAAGGGTACGGGCATCGGCTTCCTACTAAATGGCAGCGGGCTAAATCGTGCAAGATTTGCAGCACAGGACTGTCCTGATACTCCAAAGTACCAGCCCAACTACCAACATCAGTTCAGCAGCAACTGACGAGAATCCATCCAGACAAACAATGATCAGAGCTCTACACAAAAAACACCACTGCCTACGCCCCCAGTCAGCGATACATAAGCCCTCTGCTAACGCGACATGAAAGCTTGTACTGTGCTGCTAGGATCCATGGGACGAGAGCACGAAAGCGAAGACACTAGCTCCCGCGACCTGGCTGGCGCCCACATGCCCAAATCGACGGCGGGCGCTCCGGCGCCGTCGACCACCTCCCACGCCCTCTGCCAGCCTGTCGCCGCACCTATGGCTGCGCCGCCGCCCCTGAGCTGGGGGTTCCCGCCGTCCCCCACCTCGCTGCACGGCGCGCCCGCACCGGATCTGGATCGGGAGTTCGAATCCCCTCCGCCCCCGCCGCCGGGCCGGCCGGCTCGCCCCGCTGGCGAGGTGGACCTCGTCCTGCAGCCCTCCACCAGTCAGCCGCGTGCTACGTTGACTGCTCCCTGCCCTGCTGCTCCGCCCGTCATCAATGCGGACGACGCGCCGTACAGCGATGACAGCACCAAGACCGGCCACGGCGCGAAGGCTGCTCGATCCAACCCGGAGCAGGAGCTCCTGTCCACGCTGCCGCTGCGGACGCTGGGCCGCCCCGTCCAGGTCGTTGGAGAGTCCGTGAAGGTGCCAGAGGTGCCCCTGGGCGAGTTGCCGGCTTCCGTGAGGCCCGCCGCGTCCGCGAGGCTCCCTTTGTCGGCTCCTCCGACCTCACCCGTTGTCTCCGCCGCCACGCTGGCCGCGGCTGCGCTGACCTCCCGCAAGGCCGACCCAGCCATTGGTGGGCAGATGGCCGGCGCGGGCGCCACCCTTGCTCCCCTTTCTGGCGTCTCCTCCGGCCAGCTGCTGCCATCCCCGGCGTCAACGCCTTCATCCCTCTCGGGGCCAGATCAGGCGGATCCATCACCGGCAGCTACCCTGGCTAATGAGAACGCTGCTCCGTTGCTGCTGGCATCGGTCGACCCGGCGCTCTCTCCCGTGCGTCCTGGTTGGGGGGACTGGCTTGGATGCTTCAGGAGCAAGGGGATGCCCGCTGATCCCATGTGCTGCGCGCCAACAGCTCGTGGGAAAATGTTGGGAGACTGGCACCTCGTCGCCGGGCGCCGCCGTTCGCAGTCTTGAAATGCCTTTCATCAGCCCGCTCCAAACGCTCGGCCGCCTCCTCCGGCGTGGCTCAAGGGTCGATGCTTTCGGTGCCTCTCCAAAGGTCATCGTGCTCGTGAGTGCAGGGACCCTTTTCGGTGTATGGGATGCCTTCGATTCGGCCATAAAGCGCGTTTCTGTCATGCACAACTCCGCATCAACCAGACTACGCCACCGCGACATGTTGTTCCACCATCCACCCCAATGTCTGCATCATTTGTCGATGCAACCCCGGTTGATGTGGCGTTGCGGCCCGTCCTGGTGGAGCAGACCGAGCGAGCCCGAGCCGAGTTTCGTGACTGCATTGCGCGAGTTGGGAGCGTTTTGGCAAGTGCAGAGGCTGCTCTCGCCAAATTTCAGGTTGTGCCCGTTGTGTCCCTGCTGCCCGAGATCTAGGTTGGTTTTGCCGACGGGAAAGCAAGCATGTATGGAGATCTCTCCCCTCGTGCTACATCTCGCCCGTTGTCGCTGCCTGTCATGCCGATTGCTTCTGAGAGTGAAGCCGTTGTTGAGGTCGTGGCACCAGTGCTGCAAATTATGCCTGAGCTGCAGAAGCTTTGTGGGGAGCCCACTTCGCCTATTTCGATGGTGCTTCCTACGGAGATGGAGTCAGTTGGAGGGGCTTTGGCGATGCCGATTGCGACCTCACCGCCGTTGTTGGAGCCCAGTCAGCCTATCGCATTGGTGGATCGTGGAGGTTTGGATGCTGCTATTGTCTTATCACCTGTGGTTGTGGGCCAGGTGGCACCTGTGGGTGTCGAGATTGATGAGGTAGGTGCTTTGGCACCAAATTCTGAGGCGCTAAAGTCCATCCGGTCGCCCATCTTTGACCGTGAAGCTATGTGGGCACATATTGATGAGGTGGTCTTCGCGAAAAAGCTTGGCCGCTTGCTCGCCGGCTTGGAGGCAGCTAGCCCTGGGTCTGGCAAGACAATTGCTTGCTTACTAGTGGAGAAGGCTTCTTCGGGTAAAATCAAGAAGGTGAAGAAGGCTCTCAGGAGCATAGGCAAGAAGAGTGGCGCCATTGGTAAAGCGTCCGCGGCTGCTTAATGAATGATACTCAGTCTCTTCAGCCATCATCTGTGATTGGCTCATCTTGGTGGGTTTGCTAGTGTTTGTTGTCTACAACTTTGGATTCGTTGGGGTTTTCTTTGCGATGTAGAAGTGCGAGCGATTGTGGTTGTTGCTTGTTTTATATTTTTGTCGGGTTGACCGTGGGGCCATAAAGTTTCTTTCTTTGCGAGTAGTCCGCATGTGGTTTATATGTAACGGTTTTCGCCCGGTTTTTCGTTAATTAACTGGGCAATTCTCTTCCTCTTAATTAATCGATGAGGCAAATCTTTTGCCTCCGTTTTGAAAAAAAAGCTTGTACTGTATTACACTACTACTCCCTCTGAAAACTAAGTGATCTACTACAAGATCTTATATTCCTACTCCCACAGAGTACTGCAGCGCCAATTTACAGACGGCATAAACTTGAGTGTGGCCAGAGTCACAGCGTTACCCCCGCGCACCAAACGCCCACACGGACCCACGAAGCCTACAAAGCTCACGAACCGCGACGGCACGACCAATGAAGGACGAACGCGCGTCGAGCAAATAACGACGCTCGCCTAAAAGAGGAGACATCGAGGAGCACAAGTGGGCACTGGGGGAGGAACTGGTTGTACCTCACGAACGGAGTACGGTCGAGCCGGCCGCCGCTGGAGAGGAAACCCTAGCGAGGCGATTCGGAGATGGTGCTGCTGGCAATCGCGGATCTGCGGCGGAGCAGTTGGACTAGATAGACCGAGTGGGTGGGTGGGTGTGGGGGTTTATGATGGAACTGCGGGTTTGTAGGGCGGTTCAGTATATATATTAGCTCCGCGGCCCCACCTACCGGTCCTTTTTTTTGCGGGTGTTCTTTTTCTTTTTTCTGAGGGAATGCCATTATGGATTCATGGCCTCGGCAAAATGGTTACATCGTTTGCGAGGGCATTTTCAGAAAAAATCAAGAGCTCCATCAACCCAATTACAAGAAATGTTACTGTCGTAAGTGAATTTAGCTAAACTATGGGCTACCTCGTTTAACTCCCGCATACAATGAAAATAATGCACCGAGCCTATCATCCCAGCCACGACGAAGCATTCAGCATAAAGGGAAACACTTCCTATCAGTAGTCTGATAGGAAGCCAACGTCGGACCACTCATTGTCGGTCGATTCGAAAATAATGATGTGGGAGAATCTCAAAGCACAAAAGCGCTATCCACCTATGGTCCTGGCCTCCTAGGTGGTATTGTCATCCAGAAGAGGCCTGCCTATCATCTATGGGGTAAGAATGGATTTGTTGTGCTATCGACAAATATATTTGTACATAGTGCGCTTTAGTCACGCATGACTACTAGAGGTCGCTAGGTCCATGATTATGGTGTTACGATACATCTTGATGCTACTCATGGTGTAGTTAGCGCACTTGTTTTCATTTTAGTTTGAGATAGGAGTTTTTCTCATTCCTACACAACTTCATAAACTGATCTCTATCCTACTTCATAAACTCCAAACTTCTATTGTGCAATGCAATTAAAATGTAAGTCTGCACACAACAATTGTCAACACGATTGATATGTTTTCATTGTATCTACTTTCCAAACACTTTTTGCTCTTGTTTTGAACCCTAATTTTGCATGATTTGAATGAAACTAATCTGAACTGACGTTGTTTTCAACAGAAGTATTATGATGTTGTTTTTTGTGCAGAAATAAAAGTTCTTGAAATCCGACAAAACTTTTTGGAGATTTTTTATGAAATATATAAAAAATACCGGAACAAAGATCCACCGGAGGGGGGGGGGGGGCACCAGTTGCCCACAAGGCAACAGGGCGCGCCTACCCCCCTCACCACAGGGCGTGCCCTGATGACTTGTGGGGGCCCACGTGGCTTCGTCTGACCTAATTCCAACGCTATAAATTATGTTTCCCCAAGAAAAAATAAGAGAAGAAGTTTGATCGCGTTTTATGTTACAGAGCCGCCTCCGCCTCCTGTTATTCATCGGGAGGGCTGATCTAGAATACATTCGGGGCTCCAGAGAGGGGGGGGGGTTCGTCGCCATCATCATCATCATCAATCCTTCATCAACAACTTCATGATGCTCACTGAGGGAGTCCTGGATTAGGGGGTGTTCGGATAGCCGAACTATACCTTCAGCCGGACTCCTGGACTATGAAGATACAAGATTGAAGACTCCGTCCCGTGTCCGGAAGGGACTTTCCTTGGCGTGGAAGGCAAGCTTGGCGATGCGGATGTTCAGATCTCCTACCATTGTAACCGACTCTATGTAACCCTAACCCTCTCCAGTGTCTATATAAACCAGGGGGTTTTAGTCCGTAGGACAACATACACATCAACAATCATACCATAGGCTAGCTTCTAGGGTTTAGCCTCTCTGATCTCGTGGTAGATCTACTCTTGTACTACCCATATCATCAATATTAATCAAGCAGGACGTAGGGTTTTACCTCCATCG